TTGGTAGACTATAAAGGCATCCTGCACATCCTTGTCTATGAGACTACATTGTTGTGGGTCCACTTTCTGCAGTAGAGCCTAGGAAGAGAAGTCAGAGGACGATGCTCTACTACTGAGATCACAATCAGAGTGAAGCTCAGGCTGGGAGAATAGATCTTTCTTTTCTGGATGGTGAGGTGTGACAGTGGAAGGTCTGGGATGTCTAGTTTTCACTACCATAAGAGAGATATTTTTAAAGGATATTTTGGGAAGTAATTTTATAGTCATTAAATCTTGTTGTTGGGCTGGCCCATGGCTAACTTGGGAGAGTGTGGTGCCGATAACACCAAGGCCATGGGTTCAGATCCCATATAGGGATGGCTGGTTAGCTCATTGGGTGAGTGTGGTGCTGACAACACCAAGTCAAGGGTTAAGATCCCCTTACTGATCATCTTAAAAAAAAAAAAATCTTGTTGCCTTGCATGCTATCTATATCGCCAGAGTCCAAAGAGGAGGAAGCACTAGAAAATGTGTGTGTGTGTGTGTGTGTGTGTATTTTGACCTTACATAATTGTGAGAGCTGGTTTAAGCAGTCTCTGTAAGGCTGTCTTTGCACCGGGTGCTGGAGCTTGAAGTTCATAGGGCAGTCACACAGCAAGGAAGATGGCTGCAGAGTGCAAGAGAGTAAGGCTAGGCTGGGACCTGAGCATGGGCCAAAGCCTATGTCAGTTATTGCTTCTGTTCATGGTGGCAGTGGTGTCCTGCGGAAGCTGAGGCCCTTCTTCACTGAGCTAAATACTCACACCTGTTCAGGAGTTGGAGCCTCTGAGAGAGAATCTAAGGGAAGTTGGAGCAGCTGCAAGCCCACCATTGCCTCACAACGAGGTAAGCCAGCAGATAAGTGGTCACATGTATGAGCTATAGAATGGCTGCTGCTTCACTTTTGTCTTTCGAATCTCCCACAAGAATCATGTGGCCAAGTTTAACTAGAAACATACAGGGAAGGGAATTCTGGGAAATGTAATACACCCCAGCTACATTGACACATTAGAAAGCCACTCTACTACCCATTAATTGAATCAATAACATTCATTGCTTTCTAGAGAAGACAGATACCACATAGAACAAAGGTTTCAATTTCAGCTTCAAGTCTCCAAGAAAAATTATTTTTCTCTAATAAGTAAGCCAACTGTCTTAACCGTTCAGCTTTATTCACATAGAAAAGGGCTCTAAATTTAAGTTATATATCAAATTCAAAGTATTAATGTCTGAATATGAAGTTTTACCATAAACCACATGAAGGCGCAATCCAGAGAGGACCCAGAACTTATGACAGGGGAGTGCTATCAGACAAGAAGAGGAAGAAAAAAAGCCCCTTCTGGCTTAGTGGAAACAAAGACTAAGATTTGCATGTCTTTCAAGGCAAAATCTCATGGGAATTGTGTTGAAGGGAAAGTTGAAAGTATAGGCACTTTTGCCCAGTTATTGGAAAAGATTGCCTCTCGGAATGCCCCACCCGACCTGCCAACTGGAGGTAATACCAACAGAATAAAACGTGGTAACGTCATTGTTAAATAGTGAAAAGAGCTGAGTTAACCTGACTTGCTCTCAGTTCTTAGGTCTAGTTCAAGGAACACAGTGTTTTCACATGCTCTGGGAGAAGTGATAGCAAGGAGACCCCAGTAAAGAGGCAACAGAAAGATGAAGGATGTGACTGAGCCACAGTGGGCATCCTCAAGGGAGAAAATAGAGGTTCACTAGCTGTACTACAGCAGACACGAGTGCAAGGAACCCAGGAGCAAACGTCAGATATCTCAAAGCAGTGATGGGTAAGTGCAATATTTGTGTCCCCTCAAAATTTATATGTTGAAACCTAATCACCAATGAGATGGTATTAGGAGGTGGGACCTTTGGGAGGTGATCATGAATGGGATTAGTGCCCTTATGAAAGAGGCCCCAGATATCTGCCTTGTCTCTTCCATCATGTGAGGACATAGTGAGAAGGCACCATCTATGAAGCAGTCCTCACCATACACCAAATATGCTGGTGCCTTGATCTTGGACTTTCTGGTCTCCAGATCTGTGAGAAATAAGTTTCTGTTGTTTATAAGCCACCTAGTTGATGGTATTTTGTGAAAGCAACCTGAATGGACTAAATAAGAATATAGAAAAAGTTTGAATACGGGCCGGCCCGTGGCTCACTCGGTAGAGTGCGGTGCTGATAACACCAAGGCCACGGGTTCGGATCCCATATACGGAGGGCCGGTTTGCTCACTGGCTGAGCATGGTGCTGACAACACCAAGCCAAGGGTTGAGATCCCCTTACCGGTCATCTTTAAAAAAAAAAAAAAAAAAGATGTTCGAATACTTTCTGGTCTCCAGATCTGTGAGAAATAAGTTTCTGTTGTTTATAAGCCACCTAGTTGATGGTATTTTGTGAAAGCAACCTGAATGGACTAAATAAGAATATAGAAAAAGTTTGAATACGGGCCGGCCCGTGGCTCACTCGGTAGAGTGCGGTGCTGATAACACCAAGGCCACGGGTTCGGATCCCATATACGGAGGGCCGGTTTGCTCACTGGCTGAGCATGGTGCTGACAACACCAAGCCAAGGGTTGAGATCCCCTTACCGGTCATTTAAAAAAAAAAAAAAAAAAAAAAGTTTGAATACAACACTTTCTTCCTGCAATGAGAGCACGTAAACTCTCTTACCACTATCACTATGAATCTACACCATAGATTAAGCAGAATGAGAGGAAGAAAACTGCAAGATAAGTACATCTATCTGAAGAGATTTAACTACCAAAAAAAAAAAAGAGGTACTACTAATTGTCATTGTCAAGGTAAAGACTTTGTCTACTATGCATTGGCGTAGAGGCTTGCTGCTTTAGGGCAATAGCTAATAGCTACGCTAAGTGACGATGACAATTGTTTGGTTGGGGTTATTGTCAGAACCCTGATGACTTAGCCAATTGTAAAGCTAGGCGATTCATAACTAAAGCCAAAACGTTTCATTATTTTCCATTTGTATTGCCAGAGTTAGGGCTCAAACCCTTCAAACCCCATTGTACAGACTGCGTCACCAGACCCCTCACACACAGGCCCACAAGCTAAGTAACTGAGAAAGGTCCCAGGAGCCATTGATAGACACGAGCTCAATCCTCAGCAGCAGCAGCCATGGTGGCCTCCCAGAGGGTCTCAGAGGCTCTGGCAGCAACAGCCTGCAGCAGTAATGAGGGCACCCCAGGGGCACTGTGGATCAGAGCCATTCGCCCTTTATACATTAAGTCCATAACCCAGGACACCTGGGTGCACATGTGCAATTACGTTAGACAATAACCAAGGAACACCTGGGTGCGTGTGCATATTTATATCAAATGCTCAGCAAGACTCTGAACACCTGAGGGGCCCTGACCATTTTCCTTCACTTTCCCTACAAGGCTGATAAAGAATGTTCAATTACAGGGGGAAAAAAAAACAAAACCCAAAACCTTTAAGTACATTTTCTTTGTAAAATGTGTGTAAATTTGCAATCTTCACTCTACCACAAAAGAAGCCAGCCTGAAGACAGGGCAGAGTGAGAAGAATTAGAGAAAAGTGGAACAAGAGCTTTGCCCAATCAAAACTGGCATGAAACCTGCTGAACCTCTATGTTAATGAGCCAGTCAGCTTCAATTATTGTTAAAGCCAGTTTGTGTGGGGTTTTCTGTTATTTAAAATCTGCTACTTAAGATGGCTGACCGGTAAGGCGATCCAAACCCTTATAGGCGTTCAGTAATATTTATCTCAGCAAATTGTAGTCACTCCTACATATTTTTAAAGAACAAATAAATGTGTGGAGCAGTTAACTCCAGAATTACACCAATACTTCTAGGTCTGATGGCCAAACAGCAAAATCAGCCACAGTTACCCCATTGTTATCACATCTTAAGACCTAGAAATGGGAACACGGAATAGGTTCGAATTTCTTAGTTCCAGAATTTTTCTGGTTGATACTTTTTGTGCTAACTCTAGCAAGACTTATGTAAAGAACTCGTGATTTGGGGGTGGACCAGAACCATCTCAGTTCTATAACCTTTGAGATAAATAGTACTGAGCTGCTAGTATCCCAGCTGCCACTTAGCCCAAAGGAGACCCAGGGATAGTTGTGGTTATGATGCCGCTGGAAGTTCTCCTATCCTGTATTTTGTTTGCTAAAATAAACCAGTCTACTGGCTCTCCAATGCAGAGGACAGGGAGATTTACTGGGCTGAACATACCTGGTGTAGCTGAGGGTCACAAGGTAATAATACCTTCAAAAACCAGGCTCCTAACATAAACACTTGAAGAGGGCGCGTGGGGAACAGAGAGCATGCCACCGACTAAGCCATTCGAGTCTAAGCCATACAAAAATGCATTTCCAGGCCAAACATGGCCCTAGGGTTGCCCTTTCGTGTTCCCTTTCCCAGTCAGTCGGCTGGACCAGGACAGGGGCTGCGGAGGCGAAAATAGTGTAGGGCATAAGTCAGTAGGGTAGCGGGTACAGAAAATGCTTTCTTCAGTGTTCTAAGTTGCCCACCTGATCTGTGGAGGGCAGCGTACACCCCTTTCTTCTCGGGTCTGAGGAGATCTCGGCTAGGGATGTGACATCCTGTGAACTACGTATTAGTTGGTTAGTAAACGGTTCCCCGGCAAAGAGCCGCACAATGCGTGGCCCGCGAAAGAGGAGCGTCTGAGAGACGCGTGGGTGCAAAAGTGCATACAGATGGACCGGCCCAAGCTGAGGAGGGGACGAAGGGCATGCAGGCGGGGAGCCGCAAGGCAGCTCCGAGGCCGAGGGGCGGGAACCGGGAGGGACCCGGTGGATAAAGCGTAGTGAGGATGACCGACAGCTTCCCGCCCGCGCTCCGGACGGCTCCGAGCAGGCGCCGTGGCGGCGTCCGCACCCCGCCCCCTCCTCGCCCCGCCCCTGCCCCGCCCTCCGCCGTCGCCAGGACGCAGGCTCGCGTCAGGGCGGGCGGCTGGACCCTGCCTGCTAACCGCGCTGCCCGCGTTGCCCTCGGCCTCGCTGCGCCGGACCGACCTGGCCCTGACGGAGGTAACCGCCCGCAGATTCCTAGTCCCCACGTCCCTGGCCTCCTCCGAACGCCGTCCTGCCCGAGGAGTCCTCGGGTCCCTGTACACCCTAGTATCTTGCACATCCGCAACGTCCCTCATGCCCCGCCGTCTGTCGCCGCACCCGGCCCCTCGTGCATTCCCACTGGCCGGTCCTGGCCGGTCCTTCTCGCGCTGGGCCTTCCTCAGCCTCTCCGTCCTCGTCCTCCCGCCGCCGCATCACAGTCTGACGGAGCCCGGGAGGGAGCCCCGAAGGGCCGGTCCGCCCCGGCCTCCCCGGCTCTCGGCCGGCTCCCAAGGCCTACCCCGCAGGAGCTCATGGGACACTTCAGAGGGGGCTTTGGGGATGGCTCCTGCGAGGTTGTCACGGGGAAACCCTAGATGGTCATAAACTGAGTGCTGAGGAATAGACTCGTTAGTGGTGGGAATCACAGGAGAACCTATTCTAGAAATTACATTCGCCAATTTGTTTGAAGCATTTTTGCTTTTTTGTAGACTTAGATTACTCCTAACATTTTGTGAATGTGATAGAATTTATTATAATTTCCTTTCTTTCGGCAAGTAATGTTACTTGTTTCATGATGTCTTGATGACTGGTTAGTAGGCTGGCCTGTTTAGCTCAGTTGGTTAAAGCACAGCTTTATGTACACCACAGTCATGAGTTCGAATCCCCATACCGGCAGGTAGCCACAAGAACAAAACAAAGGAAAATGTATATCATCCATCCGTAGCTGTTGTGTTTTGAGAGGCAGTTCATTGTGTAGGAGAAATAACCTTTGCTACGTAAAGGGAGATGATTTTTAGAATTCTAGAACATGGAAGGCCATCCATCATCAAATCCTGTAGGGCTCTTGAAGTGGTTAGCTGTCTTTTTATCCTTTACGTTTTAATTGCAAAAGTTGCATTTACGTATACATCTGGAGTATTTTAAAATCTCTGCATGATTAAGTATATACTGCATCTCTCATATCTAGGAGCGGCAAGGACTATTTTTAAAAAATATAACCATAACAGAATTATCACACAGCACAAAAATTAGCATTAATTTTTAAATATCATCTAATAGAATCTATTAGAATGGAATCACAGATAGAATCTAATGATTCTAATTGAGTCATCATGTTCAGCTTTCCCCTATGTTTAAAATTCTAAATAATTTCATCTTTAAGGAAAAGTTGCCAGAGTAGTATATCTTTACCCAGATTGACCAGTTGTTTATATTTTGCCCATGCTTTATCTTTCTCCTTATATATGTGCACACACACAAATTTTTTCTGAACTATTTGAGAGTGGGTTATCATGCTCCTTTCCCCCTTAATACTCAGTATAGTATGCATTGCCTAAGAGCAGTGATGTTCTTTTACATAAGCAAGTAAAGTTATCAAATTCAGGAAATTTAGCATCGATCCATTACTTTATCTATGCTGTAGTTCATATTCTGTTTTTGTCAGTTGTCACAATAACATCCTTTATAGCAAATTTTCTGGTCCTGTATACAGTTTAGGATATTATATTGCATTTAGTTATCTTGCATGGTAAATATTAACTTTGGGATAGCTCCTGTGCTTTTCTTTCTCATGATACTGCCTTAAAAAAAATAGCCCATTATTTTATATTTTCCTCAGTTTGGATTTGTTTCCTTATGAGTAGGCTTAGGTTTGCATTTTTGGACTGGAATACTATATAAGTAATGTTATGTCCTTTTTAGGTAATCACATCTGGAAGGGCAGATATCTGTCCCTTGTTGGTTAAGATGTATCCCTTTTCTCTGCTGTATTTTTTTGTTTGTTTGTTTTGTTTTGTTTTGTTTGCAAATTATTCAGTAATTGGTGGAGAGATCCTAGACTATGTAAATATCCCTTTCTTCATCAGATTCCTACCTCTCCCTCATTTAGCATTCATTGATGATTCTTGCCAGAATCAGTTTTTAGTATGATGGTGCAAAGTGGTGACTTTCCACATTGACTACCATATTGGTATGGGCTCATTTTTACTTTATTTAATGGGTTGTAACAGGTTGCTCATTTACTTTGGTACAGTATCCCAGAGTTGGCCATTCAAGCTCGTTCCTGTTTCTTTTTGACATGCCCCCACCATGTTTACTTCCTTACTTTGGAACAATATTTTCCATGTACACAGACTTCCTTCACTACCTTAACCCTGAACTCAGCTATTTGTCCAAGGAGCCCCTGGGCTTGGTTCCTCTTAGTGAGAAATGGTATTTGAAAACCAAGATCTGAGTGCTAGGTAAGCTCATTGCTACTGGGGTGTCATTGCTTCTAGGCCCTGTAGAATACAGACTTAGAAATCATGAGTTTTTGGGCCGGCCCAGTGGCGCACTGCTACAGTGCACCGCTTGAGAGCGCGGCAGCACTCCCGCCGAGGGTTCGGATCCCACATACAGACCGGCCGCTCACTGGCTGAGCGAGGTGCGGGCGCAACAACGAGGGTTGCGATCCTGTTGCCGGTCCGGTACGGGCGCGACACTGAGGATTGTGATCCGTTGCCGGTCACCAAAAAAGACAAAAAGGAAAAAAAAAAAAAGAAATTATGAGTTTTTATACTAATACTTACAATTCTAATTCAGTCCCTCAGGGCTCTTTCTTACCTTCCCCATTCTATAGCTGTGTGCTCTTTCTTCCATGGTGAAGAATTCTGGCTCCCATTAACATTGTTAGTCCATACACTAATTTACTCAGTCTTACAGTGTATTTAGTTATATACATAACAGTCTCTCCCTTCTCCCCACTTTAGAAAATGCCATTTATTTGCTGAAGAAACTGCATCATTATGTTTTTCTGATGTGTTTAAAATGTTCTTTCATTCTCTTTGTTTCCTGTCAAGTGGTATTTAGATTTAGACACAGATTCAAGTTCAGTTTTTTTTTTTTTTCCTTTTTATCTTTTTTACTGACTGGTAACGGGATCGCAACCCTCGGTGCTGCGCCCGCACCGCGCTCAGCCAGTGAGCGGGAACCGGTCTCCACATGGGATCCGAACCCTTGGCGGGAGCGCTGCTGCACTCCCAAGTGGCGCACTGTGCGCCACCGGGCCGGCCCATCAGGTTCAGTTTTTAATTTTTATCTTTGCAAGAATATTTCACAGATGGCTCTGTGCACTTCCTACCTAAATAGCATCATGTCAGGTGGAATATAATGTGTATGTGTCTCACTGTTAGTAATTTTAAGATTGAATAGTGGGTTTAAGGTATGTCAGTGCACCTATTATAAAGTTCCCAGTCTACTTTCACCAGTAGTTTTAGCAGCCACTGATAACTGTTGACTGGATCTGTTATTTTATTAGGAGCTGCAAACAACTTTTTTTTTTTTTTGAAGGCTGGCCGGTGCAGGGAAAAAATGATATTTTTCTAATGCTATCATTCCTCTTGCATTTGGTTAGCTCTTTTGAAATAATTTTCTTTTATGTATAATGTTTATATTTAAATCTTATATTTGTAAAAATAGTATCTAAGGAGGTAGTCACCTAGACTCAGAGTTGAGCAATTGAAAAATAAAATGTTAAAGTATAAAATATGAGAACAGCTAGTATCTGGTTTTTTTAAAATATTTATTTATTTTGGCAGCTCGCCAAGTAAGGGGATCTGAACCCATGACCTGACCTTGGTGTTATAAAGCTGTGCTCTAATCAGCTAAACTAATTGGCATCCTAATAACTGAGCTAGCATCTTACTAGGTTGTTGTGAGAAGTACCTGAGTAGTCTTTTAAAGCTTGTTTTATTAAAAAAAAAAAAAAAAGATTCACCTGTGTTCTTGTTAAAGATTAATCATACCAAATAAACTCAATTTTTTTTGGATTTCATAGACCAAATGAAATTAGGAAGATAGAACTTTAAAAAAAAAATGGAAGAAATAAGGCTATGATTGAATATAGTTCAGGCCAATGACCACATGCCATCATTGTTCAAAATTTCTCAATCTTTAAATTAAGAAAAATTTAAACAGTCACAAACTTACAGGAAAGTTGCAAATATAGTACAAAGAATTTTTTTTTTTTTTGGCCGCTGGCTGGTACAGGGATGGAACCCTGGACCTTGGTGTTCTCAGCACCAACGTCTAACCATCTGAGCTGACCGGCTAGCCCCGTCCTATTTGTGATAATGTTCATTTTGATCTTTGGATTAAATGGAGACTGCCTGGTGCCTTCACTGTAAAGTTACTCTTTTTCCCGTTGTAATTAATAAGTATAATAGGGAGATACTTTGAAACTATGCAAATTTTCATTTTTTATCAAATGTTAACTTATTTATATGGATTCAGTTTCCTATTTTAATTCACAGATTTTAATACATTATTATTTGTTTTGATGTTCAGATTGTCCTCAGTTTGGTCAGTGAGATTCCCTTTCAGAATGCTTTATGTGCCCTCCCCCTGCTTGGGCTCAACACGCTGTGCTGGACTGTCCAGTGCATGAACATCCTCCCAAGGTTATGCTCTCCTCACCCTGCATCCTGACTACGGACACTCACCTGAATATTCTCTTCAGCTGCTTGGGCTCTAATATACTGTTCTTGGCGTCTGCTGCAACCATCCACACACCCAGCACGGGGGTTTGCTCAGCATCTCACTTCATGCTGTCTCAGGACTTCATTTTTATGTGAGCTAATTTGGACTTTCTCACAGTTTGGTGGGCTCAGGGCAGTTTGACTGCTTACATGGTGATCGAAGGCTTCACAAGTGATTATTGCAGGGAGCAAGGTAGAAGCTGAATTGCCCTCTATGATTTAGTCTTGGAAAATGCATACCTAGCATCACTTCCATTATACTCTCTTGGTCAAAATAGTCACAGAAATCTGACCCAGTTTCAAAGGGAGAGATATAGACCACAGCACTCAATGGGAGAAATACCAAAATCACAATAAGAGCATGTGGGATGGGAGATATTGTTGTGGCCATCTTTGGAAAATACAGCCTACCGTACTGAGAAAGACAAATTACATTGAAACTTTATTGTCAAGATCCTTTCCTAATCATGTTTATCTTCATTGTCTTAGAAATAACTTGTCAAGAAAGCAAATACATTTTGCCTGCCTGTTCATGGTAATAAGATACTGAATGTATTGTCAGTCTCTCACCTTAAAAAGAGAATTAATTTGAGCTGTTGAAAAAGTAATTATCAAAACTATGAAAATTCTAAATTAAGATGCTCAGTAAATGTTATGGGCTATTTGTTATTATTATTACTACTATTATTATTTACAGCTTCTTGTTACATCATTAATATCTTAACAAGCATGGAGATAAGGTTGGAAGTTTTGACATCAACAAGTATCAAGCAGAAAAAGCCCTGGCCACGAGTCTCCTGGTTGGGACAGGTAGGTTTTTCTTTATTCATACTAGTTTATACTTGTGTATGGTAAGTGTGTGTTTTGCTTGTAAGATGTAGGAATATTCTATGGCCTTAAGGAAGTTAGGACAGCTGGTTGGCTCAGCTGTTTAGAGCGCAGCCTTCTAACACCAAGATGAAGGGTTTGGATCCCCATACTGGCCAGCCACCATAAGAAAGAAATAAAACATGGTCTTTAGAAGGATTACCTACCTGCCCACTGAACAGGGTTTTGTGTGTCTTTTGTTTTTATTATAATGAGCAAGTTAGCTTTTCCAGAAAGTTAGGTGGTCTGTCTAGAAGAAAACTTTAACTTCAAAAAAAATTTTTTTATATTATGTTGTAGTAGGTTGAGATGGTATATATCAAGAGGGAATATTTAATCTCCTGAACTAATTACCAGAATAATCAGTGGAGTTTCCTCCTATTGTGATTTTCATGAGTGAGCTACAAAGTGTCCTTAGAACTAGGATATAAGAGATGGTCCACAGTACATTAATAAATACATTAATAATTCATAATAATACATTAGTAACACCATTTATAGTGTATGGGTTAGATTCCTCACCTTAGGGAAAGTGGGGAAACCTATAAAATCCTCTTAGAATTTATAAAGATTATTGAAATAAAGTATAAAATTTCCTGTGAGAAATTATATCACTAATTAACTTCTCCTGGAACAGGAGTGCTCAAACTTTAGGATGCATCAGAATGATCTGGAGAGATTGTTAGAACACAGGTTGCTGGGCCCCACTCCCAAGATTACCAATTCAGTAGCTCTGGGGTAGGGTTGGATAATTTGAGTTTTCTTTTTTTTTTTTTCTTCTTTTTCTTTTTTTTTTGAAAAGATGACCGGTAAGGGGATCCTAACCCTTGACTTGGTGTTGTCAGCACCACGCTCCCACAAGTGAGCCAACTGGCCATCCCTATATGGGGATCTGAACCCGTGGTCCTGGTGCCATCAGCACCACACTTGCCCAAGTGAGCCACGGGCCAGTCCTGATAATTTGTGCTTTCTGACCAGTTCTCAAGTGTTACCGATGTTGCTGGCTTAGTGATACTTTGATAAACCACTGTCCTAGAGTACAAAGTACTTCAAAAAGTTTATGGAAAGATTCATATTATCATTTAATTCTATTTTTCCACGAACTTTTTGAAGTACCCTCGTATATGAAAACAAGGTTAATTCAAAATAGCCTACTTTTTCTAGATAATAAAAAATGATCAGAGTCAATGGTTTTTGACTTTCAGAAGCCATATATATATTTAAGTAAATAATTAAAAAACTTGCCTATGGGCCGGCCCGGTGGCGCACTGCTACAGTGCGCCACTTGGGAAGCGTGGCGGCGCTCCCGCCGAGGGTTCGGATCCCACGTACAGACCGGTTCCCACTCACTGGCTGAGCGAGGTGCAGGGAGCAACACGGAGGGTTGTGATCCCGTTGCCAGTCATGAAAAAAGACAAAAAGGAAAAAAAAAAAAAAAACTTGCCTATACTATGTTGAAATTGATGAGATTAAACAGGCAATAACCCAGTTTTAGCTAGTGAAATTGGAGAACACTCCTATAATTTTAAACTTCAAAGAAATTTAAATGCATCCTTACTTAGTAATTCTTTTTTTTTTTTTTGTCTTTTGTCTTTTTTCCGTGTCCAGCAACAGATTGCAACCCTCAGTGTTGCCCCCGTACCGGACCGGGGACCAGCAACGGGATCGCAACCCTCGGTGTTGCTCCCGTGCCTCGCTCAGCCAGTGAGCGGGAACCGGTCTGTATGTGGGATCCGAACCCTCGGGCGGGAGCACCGCCGCACTTCCCAAGCGGCGCACTATCCAGTGCGCCACCGGGCCGGCCCCTTACTTAGTAATTCTAACGAGAACTATTTTAAAATAGAATGAAATATCTTCACGTTACTGTAGGGTATCAACCTTAATGTTCGTTTTATTATTTGTGGTACAAATGCATAATCTTTCTTAAATGTTATTTTGTTTTCCTTTCTGTGATAATTTATTTAGACGAGGTTGAGTTAACTTCTGTCACCTTTTAAATCCTTCATATGTTTCTTCTTTTAGGAAAATGAAGCTGTTTTTCTTTTGGATGATAAATTCATAAATGAAATTAATTTGCTCTCAGGAAGGACAAAGAAGAAAATTCCTAGTCTGCAGCCTTTGTTGAAGGATGTTGTTGTCCTAACAACGTCCAATAATGGTTAAGTAATACTGATCTTTTCAAAATGCTAGATTAACTATATTAATAATTTATGGTAATATTAAGGAAAATATCAGATTGTTAGTATTGCATTTCATTTTTTTATTTGACTTCAAAATTCAAACTTTCTGAATTTATTCTGAGGCATTAATTAGATGAATGCACAAAGATGTACATGTAAGAATGTTCATTATAGTGCATTTCATTTTTGGAAACAGATGCCTGGCTGGCTGGGGTACTCACTACCGGGGAACTTTTCCTTTGGAACAAAGATCAAGATTGTTTGAAAACTATACAAGTAACTGAAAAGCCTAAGGAAATGATTAAAGCTACAATAGGTGGGAATTTTTTATTTATTTAAATCGGTTTAACTAGGAGAAATAGAAAAGAGGATGAAACATTTTTCTGTTACTACTATATTTTGAAAATTTATCTCTACATGTGTGTATGTATATCTGTATGTATATATATTTTTGTGTCTCTATGTATTTTTATATATATACTTCAAGTTGAATCTAGGTATCACAGATAAACATCACCAAAAATTTTATTTATATATATATATAAAAAGAAGAAGAAAAGTCTGGTGTGCTTAACATTTCTGTGGTAACAGTGGGTTCCTAATATCACATAGGTACTTGATAAATGTTATTCTTGTTTGTACGTTAAATTTATTACTAATGCCTTAAGTTTTAACAATCTGAATGGTAATATCATTTGGGTTTCTTATTGTGAGAATAGGTAAATTATGTATTTTCTTGGGGGGATTCAGACTTCAGAAGTTTAATTACTTTTTTTTTTTTTTTAAGCAAACTCTTTGCAACTGTACTTGTATGTATCTGGAAATGGGAAAAGAGTTCTGCTTGTAACACCTTCTGGATGCATATTGCTTTGGGAATATTTGGAATCAAAGAATATTTTATCTTCTAAAAGCCTTTCATTGGTGGGTCCGTGGTCCCAGATCATACCTGAAGAAGCAATTCTTTTGCCTTCCACTGAAGATAAAGAAGCTGTAGTGAATGCTGTTTTTATAAAAAATGAGGTAAAATCCATATCAAACTGGGTATTACAGTGGTTGAGATCTCAAACTGTAAGAACAGACACTCTGTGAAGCTATTTACTGAGAGTGTGTAATGACATAGCTATGTAACTCTAGCACCATTGTCATAGTAATTGTGAAATTATTGTATGGAAAATATTTTTATATTTCTTGGGTCACATTTTTAAAAAAAGTTTATTAAACCTGGTTTGAAATTAGAACTTCCTTCTTCTTTCCCTGTTTTAAAAACATAACTTGTTTTGAAGTTTAACAAGGTAAATTGGGGTGATATTAAATAAGACATTTAATTCCTAGGAAATAACAGATTCATTAACTAAAAAAAAAAAATTGTAATAGCTGTTTGTTTGTGTGTGTGTGTGTGTGTGTGTGTGTGTGTGTGTGTATATATATGCTGACATTTTATTACCCAATTCATTATTGTTAGAAATTGCATTTGGGGCCGGCCCGGTGGTGCACTGGATAGTGCGCTGCTTGGGAAGCACGGCGGCGCTCCCGCCCAAGGGTTCGGATCCCACATACAGACCGGTTCCCGCTCACTGGCTGAGCGAGGCGCGGGAGCAACGCCGAGGGTTGCGATCCAGTTGCCGGTCCCGCTCCGGTACGGGGGCGACACTGAGGGTTGCGATCCGATGCTGGACACGGAAAAAGACAAAAAAAAAAAAAAAAAAAAAGAAATTGCATTTGAAGTTTTATTGTCCCTCCTCTGGGGTGGTGCCCTATATTTAAATAATATAAAACTATAAAAGAAGAGAAAAATAAGTATATAAGAATATTTCTATCCCTGTATTGGCCAGCCACCAAATTATATATATACGTATTTCTAGTTATAGTCACAATGGCAATATTTGCTTAAGAGCATAAATTGCAATCAGATTTACCATTTGGGACCTTCTGCTGGCTCAAAAAGAATTACTTAGTCTTTAGCTCAATGTTAAGAATAAAAATACAGGGAAGGATCCCAATATTTTTCATTTATTTAAGATGAGAATTATATTTATATATTTTTTGTATCTTGATTTGTTTTCAGTTTAATTTTATACTAAAGTATATTAAATTTGTCAACAGTTATTTGGAGACTGCTGCCTCTGTTCATTTACTTTTTATTCTGGGGAATGTTTGAAGTTAATATTTCTAGCAGTTCGGTGGCATGAAAATGCATTTACACCTACAAGGTGAGGCAAATGTTTCCTTCATCCTTATTTTCTATCCCTTTTAAAACAGCATTATTTTTGGCCTATATATCCATAATAAGATTTGTAAATATTAATGTGAATTTCAATTTCTGAGGCTTTACAAACCCTTTTTTCCCATTTTTCATTTCTAAATATTTAATCTAGGAAGCTTTTTTTGTTTTTGTTTATTTCTCTTCTTGGAAGTGAGACCGTGTAAAAGATAATACAGGCTATGGTCATACTTGTCTCACTTAAGACTATAGAGATTATTTGGAAAATAATTTAGTTGAAATTTAAAAGGGGCATAGCTATGTGGATTTACTATTGTTCCTTTTAAATGCTAAAGTGTTTTTTAAAAATTAAAAATAGCTTTATTCTAAAAAGCAATAAAATTGGAAAAACACATAAAAAGCTTACAGTGCCTAAGTAAGGTTTAATAAAATGGCATGATTTGTTTTCTTTGCTTGCTTTATTTTTATGCCAACAGTACTTTATTAAGATATAATTTACATAGAGTAACATGAACAAATCTTAAGTGTGCAGCTAAATGGACTTTGATAAATATATACACCTGGGTAACCTCCATTCAGATCAAATGTGGGACATTGACGTTATCCCCAAAAGTTCCCTCTTCTCTACTTTTTTAATGCCTGTAAAAATGTTTGTTATTATGTAGAAATATGTTTATGTAAACCTTTAGTGGAAGCAGGTGTATTTTGGGTTGACTATGGAACATGGCTCTGTTAACAAAACTCTGATTTTGAACTTGTTTAACTAACTGGCAGCTGCTCTTTTATGCCTTGGATGAAACTTCTGAAAGGTCTCTAAGAGGCCCTCTAAATATATGTGCATATGTAGGAATTTAGGTGGACCCTCTAATTTTTTGTAATGAACTATATGTCAGTTTAAAAGTTACCATACTTCTTGTTTTCAATCATTTCATTACTTTCTTAGATCATTGCCATACCATGTTCATTGGGCACAACAAGACTGTCATCTGTGCAGTCTAATTCCTAAATGTGAATCAGTAAAGTCAAGAGGAGCTCTAATTTCTGCCTTTTCAAGAGACGGCCTTACTCTGGCAGTTACTCTTAATCAGAAAGATCCAAAGGTCAGTAAATATAAATCTGTGTTGGACAATATTATATGAAAGAGGGAGTTTACTGAAGTTTTGAAATGTCTTACTACTACTTTATGTTCTTTAAATTGGTGTTTTCTAATCCAACCTGACCAAATGTGGATTGGAAAAGTTATTTAAATTAGCTGCCATAATTTTGAAAAGTTGGCCTTTAGAAGTGAAAGAGGATAAGGGAAAAGGAGGAAAGAAGAGCAGAGTGGTAACTGATGTTCTTAAGGTGGAGTATAAAAGAGCAAAGGGATTTCGGGGGTGGGTCGATATCTCCTTGTCAGTTGGGAAAGACTCCCTACATAGTTTATTAATATAAATAATAGATCTCTAGGTCTCCAGAATTGTAAGTAATGATTACATAAAGTAATTTTAATGGTTTTGCTTTCTTTTTTCCTTTCTAGGCAACTCAGGTATTACTTATAAACACAGTGAATTTTATTACTCTTTGTGGTAGCCTTAAAGGATGTAGTAATAAGAATCCTGTGGTTCCAGCTACACTTATTAGGTAAGAACTCTTTTGTATTTCTAAATAACGTTTCTGTTTTCTTTTCCAGTAGTTTAACAAGTTTAAGGCTCTAATAGTTCATTTAGATGGAAAATGCAACTTACTTTCATGTTTGTGCTTGATAAATTCTAAAAGTTGCTTGATAAAAGGAAAGCCTTAAAATACTTTAAGGAAAGGTCTTGGTGGGTGAAAGATCCATGGACATATTTTTTTTCTCTTTCATTTCTTTCTGCATCTTCTTAGGAGGAGTGGAATAATGAGTAGGAAGAGAAATATTGGGCTTAATTGGAGAAGTTGAAATGAAAAACCTTCGGGATTGGGAAGATCATTATTAATATACGGAGGCCGGAGTGTTTATAGCCTCTTAAAAAAGTTGCCATCCTCTGCATATGGGTCAATAGAAACATAGGTGGTGATTTTGAATGGCACATGACCTAGCCCTAGGACCTGTGGGTTATAGAGTGGAAAGATTTCCTCTTGGGGCTCCTAACTTCCTTTTCTGAATACCTTCCCATGCTGTTCTCTGAATTTCCAGTTTTCAGCTCCATCCAGCCCTGCCTCCTTATTTTTTTCCCCTTCCCACAAGTTTCTTTCTAAAAGTATTACTGGTCTCAGATCAGTGGTCTGTTTGATTTACGGTGTCCACCATTTTCATGAGGAGGAGCTGCTTTTTGTTCTCATGAAACATTAATATGGCAGGTAGTTAAGGAGAAGTAACAGTGACAGCTTTGGGAAGAGGAAGAGTCTGCTGCTGAGTGGGATTCTAGCAAGCTCCAGAGAGGACAGGCATGGCCTTGAAATCTATCAGTAGATCTTGGTTGTGGACTCCAATAGGATTAAAGTTTATTCTGATTAAAATGTGAGTGACTAAAAAGCTCAACTCTTCAGGGAGTATTTTCACTTTCTGAATTGCTTATGAATCTAAAAAAATTTCTGATTGGAATATTGTTTGAGTAGATGTTAATGAGCAGATTTCTTTTTTTCAGGAGGTAGAATTCATGGAAAGTATGTGGCAGTTGACTACTATCCATTCTTTTGCCCTCATTTTTGAAATGTCTCACCCCTGCTTGGTGTAGCCTATTGTAAATTGTCAAAGACATTATAGAGTGTTCTTTCTAAACATATTGACTCTTGCTTTTTCTAGGTCCTACTGGGTAGGTGATATCAGCTGGACGCATGATAGTCTTTTTCTGGCTTGTATGTTAAAACGTGGCTCCCTGGTTTTATTGACCTGCCAAGGTGAATTGCTAACATTAATTACATTTGGCTGCTCTATAGAATTTGGGCCAGCAGAATTTATTCCTCTTCATCCACTAATAACATATAGGTGAGACAGTTGAATTGTTTTAATTTGTTTACAGAAGTTTTTCTCTTTTGGTGTTTCTTTTATTGTGTATTTTTAAAAAAATTTCATCTCTCAAATTGTCTTATGCTTTCTTTCAGTCTGTCATCTCAATATGTTTCTTATTTATAGTTTTTTTCTATTTCTTTTTGTGGCTTAATCCTGGTGAAAATTTGACATTGTGACTATGTAAGTATAAGTTATTTAAATATTCAGTAGCAGTAAAATAATTATCTTCTTTGATATAAAAGTTAATAAAAGTATGACATAGCATTTATTGTTTTAAAAGAATAGCACTTAGATAAATTAATAAGACACATGGATTTATTCACTTTTTTTCCAAAGGGAAACACTTGTGGGAAATGGATACAAGACTTTAGAATTGAACCATATTTTATTTTTAACTTTGAAATGAGGTAGCAGTTTGGCTTTGGAGTTAGATCAAGATTCAAATATTGGTTCTTCTACTTATTAGTTGTATGACTTCGGGTTATTCTTTAAGCCTCTATTTCTTTTACTGTGACATGAGGATGACAATCATTGTCTCTTAGGGTTGAGGGAATGAAGTAAGGTAATCCATAATTATAAATCACTTAGCACAGTTCTGGCATGAAGTGCTCAGTAAATATTTGTTGTTATTGATGTTGATGGTATTATATGTATTATATACACAGCTATTTACAAAACCAAATTGGAAAAGACCTTTGGAATTAATCTATTCTCTTTGCATTACACAAGGCAATCTGAGGTGGGCTATGTCCTTGATTATATCTAGCCAAAAGTGGTGCTTAGTTTTTAGCAATAGATAATTCTAATGGAAAAATTTGTCACTTCCTGCAGTGAGAGTATTTTTTCCTTACTTCTTATGGTCCAATTCATAATTGACTAGAATTTTCTTACATTCTCATATAAAATTAATATTTGGGGCCTTTCAAAATTTATTGCTTTTTTGTGATTACAAAAGTAATGCATATTCATTATTTTTAAAAATTTAAATTGAAAAATCAAATGTTATGAAACTAAGTGTAGAAAATGAAAGATTCTTGTAATCCTACATCTTAGTAGTAACGATTATTGTTTTAGTGTGTTGTCCTCCAAATTTTAAAAATATTTGCATAACATTTATAATAGTAGCAATATTAGTTTCTTTTCTAAAAACAAGATAATTTATATGATATATGCTGTTTACTCTCTTGTTTTTTTTATTTAACAGTGTCTTATACATTTTTCCATGTCAGGCATTATTTTTTAATGGTTCTACAGATTTCCGTGGTGTGTACATTCTATAATTAACCGACCTCTTATTGTTGGCCTTTTGGCTAATAAAAAAAAAAATCTGTATTTGAATAGTTTTCTAACCAGAAAAAAATTATATTTTAATGATTTGTTTGCTTTGTATTTATAGAGCCCCAAATGTAATGAACAATGATGTTAAGTACAGAATCAGTTATACCATAATAATAATGAATAAACACATTTATGTGGAAACTCAGTCAAATTTAGTCTTAAGCTGTAAAATTTTGCTCACTACCATCCTCTCCAAATGTCCTTTTTAATTTCTTTTCTTTCTCTTCCTTAATAACAAGTATACTAATAGCTTATAATTATATTCCTTTAAGTATACTTAAATATGTGGTAAGAAGGAAAGTTAACTATTTAACTCTTTACAGTAAAAATAAACTGCCTTAATTTTTTTCTGAAATAGGTTGTGTAGATTAAAAACATAATAGAGTAAATGCCACCATTCAAGAAAGAAATTTAAAAACATATAAACCTATACACGGTTTAGTCACTATGTTATGTTTTCCAGACGTAAACACATATTTAATATTTTTGTGTGTGTTTCATCAGCTTGCTTATTCATCATTCTCTAACTTTTGTTATTTTGCTTTTTCTTTGGAAAAATATGATTGTTGCCTTTAAGATATTTCTCTTACTGGTTCTTGAATTTTGATGTTTGTTTCTAGACCACAGCAGTTTACATTTCAAGATTCAAATAATTCTGTAGATTCATCAGCTTCTGATAGTGACCCTATGAGACAGAGATTTTCTATAAAAGCACACTCAAGGTTACCCTACCTCCTTGTTTCTGATGGATACATGGTCACAACCCTTCGATTTCTTGATAACCTGTCTCCATCAGTGCTCATGAGATCACTTCTACTTGATTCAACCCAAAGGCTTGAGAAAACATACCAAAGTGTGATATTGTCTAAGGTATAGTGCTTTTTGGTATTGTTGATAAAAGTTGCCTTCTTATTCTTCTAAATTTAAAATTATACTGATGGCAGTGCCCTTAAACTGTATACAGTTATCTATACAATTTTTAATAGTTTGTATAAGAATTACAGATAAAATTTTGCTCTTGGAAATTTTTCTGTCTTCCATAGCCAAAAGGCAAAGGGCTGAACTTGCAATCACTGGAATCCTTAAGGTCTAGCCTGTTAAAACACCAAGGAAATGAAAGTTCAGCTGATTCCACTGTCCCCAAATTCTTACAGGCAGAAGAAATAATGAAGTTAAATGAAAAAACAGATTTTCAGGTACTTAGTAGCAGTGTTTTATTTATTTGAGCAATTATGTATTGACTTTATTCCAATAAACATATTTCATTTCTGGTTAAAAGGAAGAGAAATTTGAGAACACTAAAGTGATTCTACTTGTGAGGTATCAAATAGTATTAAGTATAATTTTTTCCGTTACGTTTTAGGATTTTGAAGCAGAAGAAACTAACGAAGGCAAACACTTTCCAAACAACTTATTTCCTTTCTGGAACCAAAAAACTAATCCGCTGTTTAGTAGCGTCAAGGAGGGAAGATTGGAATTTGCATCTATGTTTGATACAATACGTGCAAAGGATGATACCGAGGAAACAGATGGAACCATTACAGAACTGCATTATATTCAGAAAAATCTACTTGCAGCATGGACTCTCGGAATTTCAAAAAATGTGACAGAAAAAAATTTAATGTTAAATTACACAGTAGTTTGTATCACTCATTTTTTCTGCATTCTTCAATTTGTAAAATATCCTTTCCCCAAACTTGATTTTTTTTTAAGCAAGAGCCCAAGACATAATGCATGGGTCCTTGGTATCTTTCAGCTTTTTCATCGGTGTTTATCAATCCAGTATTGGGATGTGAGATACAAACAAGATGTGGGACATTTGATAAAGCTGACTTCAAATACTATAAAGCTTTTGCTGACCCAGCAACAAAAGGGTCAGTTTTTCTCAGAGAAACTTTTAGCCTGTTTTTATTTACTGAAAATGGTAGCTGACAGTTTAAATGGTGTATACAGTCTTCAACCTGAAGTTATTTCAGCATCAACTGATGGAAGTAGAACAGCAGATCGAGACTCATTGGTGGTACCTATTTTTCAAATGTTTCGAGATGGTGTTTCTCAAGAAAACTGGTCTTGGAACTCATCTTTCAAGATTCGTCCTCAAGTAATAAATCTTGTTCAACAGCCAGGACACAGGTATAATTACTTACTTTAGTATTAGGATATCATTAACATTATGATTTTTTTTTTAAACTGAGATATAATTCCCATATTGTAAAATTCATGATTTTGAAGTGTACAGTTCGTGGTTTTTAGTTTATTTATAAGGTTGTGAAACTATTAGCACTAATTCCAGAATATTTTTGTCACCCTTTATAGATACTCTGCATTCTTTAGCACTCAGCATTGTAGATTTTATGTCATTTAAAAAACATTTAAGTACATATTTGAAAACATCATGTTGTACATGACAAATATATACAATTTTTATTTGTCCATTAAAAAAAAATTTTAGGATATATGCCAAGTGTTATACAACACACACCTTTTTTTAGTCTTGAGAAACCATGCTGTTTTCGAAATATTTGGTTTAGTAGTATAAAAAAATGACCACAGGTGCATAAAACATTTATGAAGATTTTTTTATAGATATTCATTTTTGGATCATTGGACTTTGTACTGTATTTAAATCTGATCAGTTTATATATATGTTATTACGTCAGTGAAGAATACAGGCAAAAAAATATGCCAAGAAGGGGGCTAAACTCATTCTCTACAGTGTGAAATTTGGTTTTGATGATTACCTAATTTTATGTGCAGATTGACTGTTCTTTGGAGAGTACTGTACAAAAAAACTTTATGGTATCAAGCACTATTAAGTCAAAGAGTTCATGAAGGTGACAGACCATTAACTGAAAAGGTGATACATGAAGAATCTACTGTCAAGTCGCTGTTATGTCATATACAGGCTAACTTACAGACTGCTGGAGATTGCTTAAACCAAACCTTAGAACTTAAATCTATCAATGGTCAGTATCTTATAATTTCACTTATAATAATATCTTATAATTTCACTTATAATATCACTTATAAGTGATATAGTTAATTGGGCTTTGATTTGTTAATTGGTTGCAATTTGTTTTTCAGAATAATTTCTGGCTGAGATGTATTCACTGAATTTTAAAACAAAGTACATTTTTATAAAGTAATGTAATTAACTATGTCTAATTAACTGTGTCTAATTAACTTTTATTGGTTAAAAACTTTCTAGGTGAAGAGTGTTTCCTATTAGGATCATATGAAAAGTCTGTTCAGCTTTGGAAGAAAGCTCTACAAGAAATCCAAGAGAAAGGTGGGGAGTGTTAAATAATACGTGCCATAACATTGGTAGGAACATATTTTAACTTGCTGCATAACTAAAAATTAATTCCAAATTTTAGAGTGCTTATGGTATCTTAATGCCCAAATTGAATACGTATTTTAGGCAACTTGACTGTCAGAAATATTTATTTAAAATTATTTTTAGTTTTGGAATTTGTAGCACCAATAATCTTTTTAGCGATCTATACATAAGTCTACTTGTGTCTTTCTTTTTGGTTAGTTATGAAACCTATGGTTAATTGTTAATAGGGGATAAAATGAGATTTAGATCTTTTTTTTTTTTTTTTAACGATCTTAAATAATGTGTTTTTTTGGTCAATTGGAGGGACCGCAAAACTTAAATGAGAAACTAGAGGTCAAATATTTCACCACCTTCTTATAAACTTAGAGAAACATGGAGTAATTTAACTTTAAGAATTTCCTAAAATTAAGTTGAACATATTGTTAAGTGTGGGCTACATGGAGTTTTTTTATTGGTGGCTGGCTGGTAGGGGGTTCCGAACCCTTGACTTTGGTGTTACAACACTGTGCTCTAACCAACTGAGCTAAATGGCCAGCCCCTACATGGAATTTTTGATAAGGATATAGAGGTGTGGGTTCTAGAAACTGGTAATAGCTTTTAGGATATAGGACTGAGGGTGTGGCTGAGATGACAGAGGTTCTCAGCTGGTTACCCTGGAGTTAGCCCTGACTACAACTACTACATGGTTAGATTTGACCAATTAAATCTGTTTTCTGAGTGCTGTGGCTTTGCATGTTTCATTTGTTTATCTACTAAACCAGTATTTATTGAGTTCCTGCTGTGTGCCCAGCACTGTACTCGTCACTAGGGACAACTGAAATAAACAGCTTTATCCTCAAGTTGCCCATAATCACCTTTCTCATTATGTTGTATGGTAGGTGCACGGGGAGTGTAGAAGAGCACTTCACGCAATCTGAGGCTGGAGTGCAAGCATCAGTCTGGGGAAAACCTGTAGGAATTGACATTTAAAATTGGGTAGAAATTGTCCAATTAAGGTAATGAGAATGGTTTAACAGAGGATATAGAATTCCAACAACACAAAGGCCTGAGAAAGCATGGCAATTTGGTAAGCTGCCGGTAGTTTACTAGGACTAGATTATGTGATATATGTACATAATATTGCTGAGGGGATGGTGAGAGCTAAGGTGAGAGGTAGAGAACAGATCAAGGAAGGTCTTGCATGGAGTACCAAGGAATTAAGATTTTTATCCTGAAGACAGTGAAGACACTTCAGGTAGGAAAGGGACCTGTTCGAGTAAATATAGGCCATTAGAAAGACCATTTTGGGACAGTGTGGAGGATCAATTGCAGGAGGGTGTTATAGGGATGTGGGTTTTACCTAGAAGCAAGAAAATCAGTCAGATGAGGGGGCTCTGAACCAAAAAGCAATATCAAGGATAATGGAGAATGGAGATCACAAATACAAGGAGTCTTCAAAAAGTTCATGGAAGGATTTGTATTATCTTTTGATTCCATTTTTCCATGAACTTTTTTAGGTATCCTCATATTTGACAGATATTTAATAGGTTTGAGAGTAGATTTGGAGAAAGAGGTCTAATACAGTTCTCAGATTTGGCTGTTGTTCAACTGGATGAAGAAGAGTGGCATTCAGTGAGATAGGAAGTCCTGGATGAATAAAAGTCTATAAAGAGTTCCATTGTGGACATTTCATTTAATTTCATTTCCAACTGTACCCGTTAGGAATGGCTTCTAGTAATGGAGATTGAAAGTAGCAGTGGCTTTAACAAGAAAGTTTATTTCTCTTCCTTATGAAAGGAGGCCAGAAGATGACAGTCTGGGGCTGATTTAGTGTTTCCATGGTATCATCAAGGACCCAGGTTCCTTTAGTTTTTCTCCTCTGTTGTCCTTAGGGGATTTCTTCCAATCTTAAGGCCATTACACTGGCTAAGATGGCTGCTGAAGCTCTAACAATCACATCTATATTCCAGGCAGCAGAGAGGAGGAAGGTGGGAGGGGCAAGAAAAATTGTATCTTCTAGCTGAGACACTTCTTTTTAAGCAGGTGTTCTGGAAATTCTACACAACATTATCTCTTGGTTCAGTCTTAGTCACATTTTCACATGGCTACATCTAGTGAAAAATTGTGATCTGTGTGCATTGTAACCCCAATAAAACTGGAATTCTTCTACTGAGGAAGAATGGAAAAGAGTCAGACAACCAGAAGTCTCAGTCCTAAATACCACTCAGATTTTTTTTTTTTTTTTTTTTTTGGCTGGCTGCTACAGGGATCCAAACCCTTGACCTTGGTGTTATAAGGCTGGGCTCTCACCAACTGAGCTAACCAGCCAGCCCACCTCAGATATTGAGGGCAGTTGTCAGAGCTCCTATTTAACTGGGTAGTTGCTGCTGCTGCTTCTTCAGGAAGTCTCTTTGATTATCTCTTTGATATATGTAAGGTTCCTTAGGGGTTTTGTGGCATGTTCCATTCTGTTTTATACCGTGTGTATTTGAGATAGCGGTCGTTAGTGGACCTTAGTGCTGAAGTCATGAGAATTTGCAACTCTTTTTTGGATTAAATATTAGCGATCCTAGGGCCTGATGAAAAAAAATAAATTTGTTTAGAATTTAAAATGAAAAAGAGCAAAGTATTGCCAGCCTGTTATTTTAAAAATCTTTTCTTGAAATATAAAACGGATATAGAAAACAGAAAAGTTTGCACATCATGAGTGTACAGCTTGATGAATTTTCACAAATTGCACAGTCTCATCCATCTAGCACTAGACCAAAAGCGTTAACGTGCTTTTAAGGTAAGATTAATTTCTTTCTGTTTCAGGAGGAAAAAGGACATGTTTTCTTCAGATGCGCTATTATCTTTCTCTCTTATACTGCCACCTCTATAGCTATAATTTAAATGATGCTCAAGGATTGTGTGATCAGCTAGTGAGAGAAATACTGAGATGGTCCCAACTACCTGTAAAAGAAAATGAAGATTGTTCAGGTATGCTTTTTAAAGCTCAGTGTTATCTAATCTTATTGATTTGTATTTATAAGTTTAAACGTGAAATTGCTTATCCATAAAAATTGGTTGTTCTGCCTCTGTGATAACTAAGTTATGTTGGATTTTGGCCTGTCAGCTTCTCAATAGCAATTTTGTTTTGTTTTTATCTTAGGATCCCCAGGGTTTAGCAGTAATTGCTTGCTGAACTCATATAATTCTTTTCTCACAGCCATGTTTATTAGACATAGTATCAGGTACCCAAGCGTTTTTCCTTAATGTATTTATATTTTCTTTAACTGTTGCTTTATATGGTTTAGAAAAGCCATGAAAATCACTTTCTGAGGTATTCTGGGTCTTTTTAAAAATATCTGTTTAAGGGACTGCAGAGTATCTGGATTGCCCTTTTTGAAAGAGGCATGTTTAAATTAAGCAATAACCAGAGGGAAAGATATATATGAATGAATACATAATATGTTTATAATCGTTATAGGGCGATAGACTCTTAGATGTGTACTATACATTTGAATGTGTCTGAAAGGCCCAGTGTATTAGAACTTAATAAATGGAGTCATTACCGACTTCATTCCTTATGGTTTCAACCACTATTTATAGATTTTTTTAATCTTGTGATTTTTATCTTTTAAAATTTTTGTGTTCATTATGTAGATAATACATATTCATTTTAGACAATTTTGAAAATATGGAAAAGTATGAAGAAAAAATCACTTATAAGTGCACTACTTTTTCATCTAGGGCTTTTTTTTAAAAAAGATGACTGGTAAGGGGATCTTAACCCTTGACTTGGTGTTGTCAGCATCAGCTCACCCAGTGAGCTAACTGGCCATCCCTATATGGGATCCAACGCCGGGGCCTTGGTGTTATCAGCACCACACTCTCCCATGGGCCGGCCCCATCTAGGGCTTTTTGACACATGTATATGTATATAATCAGAGCTGTATATTCTATTTTGTAATCTTTTAAAATTTAATATTATGATGAATATTTTCCAGTGTCGATAATATTCTTAAAAAAAAAATCCATTGAATGTTTTTCCCGTTATTGTACATTTGAGATTTTTGCCTCATATTTACTGTTTTAAATAACGCTGCACTGTACATAAATATTTGTGAGCATTACTAATAAATTCTTTAGGATAAATTCCTAGAAATGAGGTTACTGGACCAAAGAGTACTCATGGTTTAAGACCTTTTATTCCTGTTGTGAAATTACCCTCCAGAAAGGTCCACTAGCTGTGTGTGATTGAAAAACTTATACAGAGGGCTTTTTAAATGAATGACTATTTTTCATTTTTTCCAACAATATTATCCTTACATGATGTAACTTTGAAGATTAGTTGAACCTATTGTAATTTGTTTGTTTTAATTCTTAATGATGATTGTTTAAAATACATTAAGCATGTACTTACTGGGTGGGGGGTCCCCAAGACTACACCCCAAGCTTGATTCACTAGGAGCCTCACAGGATGTAATCATACTCATAGCTTTGATTTATTACAGTGAAAGAATACATAGCAAAATTGGCAAAGGGGAAAGGTGCATGGGGCGAAGTCTGGAGAAAACCAGGCAGAAGCTTCCAAGAATCCTCTCCTAGTAGAGTCACATAGGATGTGCCTAATTCTCCCAGCGAAGTTCTGATAACACATGTGAGATGTTGTATCCCAGGGAAGCTCATTAGAGACTCAGCACTCAGATTTTTTAACTGGGGGCTGGTCACATAGACTGTCTTCTCCCTAGCACATACTAAAAGTCCACATACCACTCTCAGAAAAGAGGTTCTCAGCATAAACCACGTTGTCTGAAAGTTTAAGCCCAGTGAGCCACTCTTATCAGTCTGGTAGAAATCCCCCCAAAATCCAAGTTCCCCGATGCCAGCCAAAGGCCAACCTTATAAGCAGGTATTTTAAGCAGTCAGTCCTGCTCTGTTAACTCTTTTCTTCACATCCACCTTACTAAATCATTGTATAAAATTATAATTTAATCTTTGTTGCATAAGCTTGCTGTTATTAACGTCATCACTGTGCTGTTTACAGAATTACCCTTTCAAAATTTTTTACCTCTGAGTTGATGCAGCTTTACTCTGCAACAGTATCCTTTTTAATCAGGTTGCTCCCTACTTAAGGGGTTTATTCCTGAGTTTTACTGAAACTCTTGATTTTGTATAATTCCGCAGTAACTTTTACTCAGTAGAAAAAATGTTTACCTATGTATTTTTAACATTATTGTGAAGAAATAGTACCCAAATGAAAAATATTGCTTGAAGGATAATAAAATTTCCTCAAGATCCCCTTTGTAAAAAGCAAACAAACCAGCAAACATTTATTAACACACTTTTGAACAGTTCCTAAGTGTATGTGCTCATAATTATGAACTAATCATTTTTGTTCTTATTGTCTTCAAGAAGTATGGATACCTGTCTTTTATAACTTAGCTTGTATAGGCCATGGGTACTCATCTCAGAAAAAAACATTTTAATTATAATTTTCTTCTTGTATAATGTTGAGAACTTAAATATTACTACTTTTTGATAGTTTGATCAGAATCTCCTTTGGTCATTTGCTGTGTCCCTTAGTTCCTGAGAAGTCTCACAGTGAGTCTGGACTCAGAGGAAATGTTCATCCTGAGGCAGCAATAACAGTTATCCAATCCATGGCTCGCTTCATGGCCGCCTACTTCACCAATCAGCTGCTTTGCATTTTGCCACCTCACAACGTGAATGTTCTTCCTCCACTTCATATAAAAACAGGTAATATATGCTAAATAATTTCCTCATCTTTCTTTTTGCATAAAATGTAATATTTAAAGTCATATTATACAGAGATTATTATTCTGTGGAAACAGTACTGTTCTAACATAGTGCCTGACATATAGAAGATGCTCAGTGATTATTTGGGTTTTCTTTGGTGGCTGGCTGGTGTGGAATCTGAACCTGTGACTTTGGTATTATAAGGCTGTGCTGTAACCAACTGAGCTAACTGGCCAGCCCTTACTGAATGACTATTTTTGAATGAACAGAACCTGAGAAAGGTAATTGCTTGGATTTGTTTTTATTGAACATGGATATTTTAAAATCACAAAAATTGGGAAAATGGATAATTATAAAGTTTCCTTTTTTTTTTTTTTATTTTTTTATTTGGGTGGCTGGCTGGTAAGGGGATCTGAACCCTTGACCTTTGTGTTATAACACTGCACTCTAACTGAGCTAACCGACCAGCCCAGTTTCCGTTTTTTTTTTATTTTGTTTATTTTTTTTTAAAAGATGACCGGTAAGGGGATCTTAACCCCTGGCTTAGTGTTGTCAGCACCACACTCAACCAGCGAGCTAACTGGCCATCCCTATATAGGATCCAAACCCATGGCCTTGGTGTTATCAGCACCGCGCTCTCCCGAGTGAGCCACAGGCCGGCCCCCAGATTGCATTTTTAAAGTGAAAGAGTTGCTGTGTTCATATACATAAAAATGTGGAAATTTAAGAAATTTTGAGTCTGCTAATTTTTTAATTTTTAAAAAATGTATTAATATTATTAGTTTTTTACCTTCTAAGATATTGTTGCTGAGCAGTTGGGGGTAGGGAGAAAAGGAAAGGGGGAGGGAAATAGGGTGGGAGGAGGAGGAAGGATGGGGAGCATGGTTGAGGCCCATTGTACCCGCCTCATTCTGGCAGGGGAGACCAGGGGGTTTCCAGTGGCAGCTCAGTCATTGCTGGGCTGGTTGCAGATGTGGGGGCATGGCTGAGGCCCTCAGTCCCCTATTGCCCTGTCTTGGGAACCTGGGGTGCTTTTGGCGGCAGCTCGGTGGTTGTTGCTGGGCTGGTTGTGGATGTTGGGGGGGCTTGGCTGAGGCCCACGGCCCTCCCCTCTCCCTGGCTTGGGAGCCCAGGGGGTGTCCTGTCCTTGTAGGTTTTATAGGTGTTTTTTGTTGGTGTTAGAACTTTCTGGTTAATATCAAACTTTGTTTCTGATCTGTGGGTGTTTGTTTTTCTTTCAGTTCTGTGTTGGATAATTTGCTTTTCCTTCCACTTAAACTCTGCACTGGAACTAATATATTGTCCTTTGGTTATTTCTAAAATGGGGGAACTTCCTAAGGGAACCAGCACTTGAGCCCTGTGGTTGAGCTAAATTGCTGCTTTGTTGCTGACTCCTTGGGGAAGGCTTTTTGTGCAGCTCAGGTTTTAATTGTTGACCTTGTAAGCACTTCCGGGTCTCATGAGGTCTGGTACACCTGGGTTATGTGGAAACTCTGCTCTGGGCCTGAGTCTATTCAGCAAACTGCACCTCCTACAGTTCTATATTCCTGACGAGTCTCCACTGAATGGGCCTATGCTGATTAGAGGGCAGATCAGCTGTCCATGCTGTGCCCCAGTGTTCCCTGGGTGGCCTGTCTCCCCAACTGCCTGCACTCCAAACACTTCCCATAGGACAGGCCATGCACCACTCCCTTGCAATGGCTCACCAACCTCTAGTGGCTCCTTTTTTCAGTTGTCTTTGGCTCCTTGCTCCTGTGTGGGTCCATGGGAACCCTGTTAATAATCTTGCTGGCCTGGAGGTTAGCAAGGCCCTCTTCTCCCCTGCCACCTCCAAGCAACTTCATAGGAAGAGTACAGCTGCAGCTTTTGCCAGCTCTTTCTCTGTGTGCTCAGCAGCTCCAGCCTTAAAGTGGTCTGGGCTCGAAATGGTTGGAGCGGTCCTTTTTTCTGTCATCCCGGCTGCTTCTGCCTTCATGAACTCCATAGGTCTCTTCTCCTCTTGCCCTGAACTCTAGTGGCCCCAGCTTGGCTGTCGTTGGTTTTTAATAGTTGTAAATTGGTTGTTTTGTGGGAGAGAGTGATGCTGGGGACTGTCTTTTCCACCATCTTGACTGGAAGCCCCTTGAGTTGGCTAATTTAGAGTTTAGTTTTTTGGTTTTTTTTTTTTTTTTCTTTATGGCTGGCCGGTATGGGAATCCGAACCCTTGACCTTGGTGTTATAACACTGTGTTCTAACCAACTGAGCTAACTGGCCAGCTGTAGAATTTAATTTTATTTAGACCGTTTACTTTTATAATTTTATTTGGACCATTTACTTTTTTCTATTTAATCATTTCATTAATACAGTCAAAGTGCACCTAATTCTGTACTAGATAACTGCCGTGCTTTCATGGAGATAAACAAATACATAAACTTCTATGATGTTTATTCATTCTACTAATATTTTCATTCTACTAATATTTATTAAGTGCCTGCTATGTGCTAGGCAGTGTTCTAGCTGCTGCAAATATATTAGCTTGCACCACATGAAATTGGTAATATGAAAACACTCATAGGTTTTTGTTTTTTGAACATGTGAAACAGATTTATCCTAACTGCCATGACCAAAATAGAGTACCTGCTATTTTATGAAGTTTACATCCAATAGATTGAGACAGAAAATTAAATAAATGAATACTTAAATTAGATATGCCAAATGGTGATAATTATGTGTTAATTGTTAAAATAGAGTAATGCAGTATGACTGAGTTACTGTTTCAGATTGGGAATTTAGGGAGGTGCTGTCTGAGAAGGTGAAATTTAAGCTGAACTCTTAACAAGGAAGAGCCTTAGACGCATCAGTACATAGAGCATTCTAACCTGAGCTGGTGCAGAAGCCCAGGACAAGAACAAGCTTGACGTGTTTGAGAAACTGAAAGACTGGCGTGGTTGTAGACTAGAGGATGAGGTGGAGAGTAATAGGAAATGCAGTCAGAAAAGGGGCCAGTTGATGTGAGCCACAGTAAGGAATCTGAGTTTTATTTTAAGTGTAATGGGAAGTTATTGGAGGGCTTTAAGCAGGAGATAACATGAACTGATACATGTGTGCAAGGCACACATAGGTTAGAGTAGTGCAAGTTGTAATGTAATTAGAAGTTTAACAGAGGCAGCAACAAGTGGTCAGCAAATGTAATCAATCATAGAACCATGGATTTTGAACTATGCATGCAGACTCATGTTCTGTGGTTGTCTCCTGATGGGGGTAGGAATGGAGAATTACCCTCACCCACTTGGACTGCTTCAACTGTAGTCTCACCTGGGGTTCTTCAGGAGGTTCTGGGTCCCTGGAAAGTCATGTGCATGAGGTAGGATCAGAAGGGGTTCTCTAGTGGTTCGTTTTCTTTGCTTTCTTGGCAAAGAAGAGGAGTTGGTCCTGACCTGATTATGGCTTCTCTTAGGGAGCTGGTGGGAACAGAGAAATAGATGCCTCAGTTTCTTCCAGGATCTGGACCACTCCGCTGTCTCCCTTCCCCATGTTCTTTTCTACTTGGTTAGACCTCAGACGCAACTGCCTCTCTGTGCCTGTTCTCTCTGAGTACAGCCTGTGCTCCTTTCTCTTATCTTTATGCTTCTTTCTAAGTCTGTCAGATGCTTTCAAAGTTCATCCATCTTGTGGCATGTATCAGTACTTCATTCTTTTTCATGGCTGAAAAACATCTATTTGTCAGTTGATGGATTTTTTTTTCTTTCACCATTTGTTTTTTGTTTTTTTGTTTTTTTTGGCAGCTGGCTGGTAGGGAGATCCAAACCCTTGACCTTGATGTTAACACTGTGCTCTAACCAACTGAGCTAACCAGCCAGCCTGACTCTCAGATGTATATGACTTATTTCCTTGTACATTTGACATGTTTGTTATTATTACAGTGGTTTTATATTCAAACTCTTCTTGTCATAACCTAGGTCTGTATCACTTGTATTCCCTATTTTTGGTACTTATGTTTTCTGATAACAAATAATACCCTTAATCCATATTATTTTACTGATGAAGAAGACATGTAGTACACACTACACACATTTGGTTTTCAGAAAAAATTTTTTAAAAAGGTAAAATCCTAGTACGTAGAATTTCTTGTGTGTGTTTTTTTTAATCCAATATTTACAGGACTTTTACTGTTTGCTCATGATCCTTATCTTTACAGATCTCTTTATGTACCTAAGGAAGACTGATCTTTATCGCATTCTAGAAAGGCGATAGAATTTTTGAATTGTTGTTGGACAGATTCATAAACACTTATAAAAGTAAAGAGACACACCTTTCTATTCCCCATGTAAATATCTTCCCAATGAGAGGTGAGGGTGAGTGAGAAGGATTTTACACTCTCTTCCTATGTGCAAGATTGTGATTATTAAAAATTTAAATATCTGAATTTTGTATACACGCTCTAATTCCTTTAGTTTCCAAGTACAGTAGTACCGCCTTATCTGTGCGGCATATGTTCCAAGATCCGCTGTGGATGCCTGAAACCACAGATAGTTTTCGACCCTATTTATACTATGTTTTTTCCTATACTTATGTGCCTATGATGAAGTGTAATTTATAAATTAGGTACAGTAAGAGATTAACAACAATAATAATGAAATAAAACAATTATAACAATACATTGTAATAGAAGTTTTGTGAATGTGGTCTGTCTCTCCCTCAAAATATCTTATTATACTGTATTTACCTATTTATGGACCTCAGTTGACTATGCGTGCCTAACAGGAACTGTGGATAAGGGGGGATTACAGTATCATGAAAAATAAAATCAGCAGCCTTAACTTAGCATAAATTTCATGTCAGTTTTCTTAATCAGAACTAATGGCAGAATATGTTGAGGATTTGAGTAGTTTATTTGGCGTGATGTTTAAAAAGTCGTAAACTTTTTTACTGTCTGGAAATTAGTAAAATTTTCAAAAAATTAAATCATTCAAGTTATTTTAATAGTATAGTTCCTTGCTCATTCTAAATAAAAAATGGGAAAAATTTAGTCAATCTCCTGGCTCTTTTGCTTATGCAGAATCAGGCATTTCAGTGATTGAAAAAATTTTTGTTTTTATGCAGATGTGTTTGTCAAAGAGCTAAAATATTATTATTTTTTTTTGGTGGCTGGCTGGTATGAGGATCTGAACCTTTGACCTTGGTGTTATAACACTGTGCTCTAGCCAACTGAGCTAACTGGACAGCCTTGAAAGAGCTACAAAGTTTTGGTGCTTTCATGTATAGGTATAGTGCTTATATATATATATAGGTGTATAAGCATATATAGTGCTTCACATGACCTATAGCCTATGTAGGTCATGTAAAAAGCTAATCATTTCGGGCCAGCCCGTGGCTCACTTGGGAGAGTGCGGTGCTGATAACACCAAGGCCCCGGGTTCGGATCCCATATAGGGATGGCCATTTGGCTCACTGGGTGAGCGTGGTGCTGACAACACCAAGTCAAGGGTTAAGATCCCCTTACCGGTCATCTTTAAAAAAAAAAAAAAAAAAAAAAACTAATCATTTCATTTCAAGGAGCAGAAACCTATCTATGTCACTTACCACTTTTATTTTGAGAAAATGAGTGAAAATCCTATTGACGTGTATTTTTTTAATAACATGTTTGTTATTGTATTTTCAAGTTGATTTATCAAGGTACTTTAATTAGAGAAAGAAGGCTGGGTGGAAGGATATTACATCTTTGTATTAAATCCCAAACCAGACTGGAATCTTGTCATTTAGTCAGGATTAGTAGGATTAGTGAAAATCATACTTTACACTGTTTTTTTTCTTTTGTGGTGGCTAGCCAGAATGGGGATCTGAACCCTTGACCTGGGTGTTGTCAGCACCACGTTGTATCAAGTGAGCTAACCAGCCAGCCCTATACTTTCTACTCTCTAATGAACACTAATATATTAAGCACTTAATATGCTTGAGTATTACCTCAAATTAGCTTTTTATTGTATGACACTATGGGTAATGCAAAGTCAGATAAAATGCAGGCTCTGCTCTCCAAATTGCATAATCTAGTATGAGGAATAGGCATATATTTCTGAGCAGCCCACAGTAATAAATTGTACATTGTGACCAAGTACATATAAATGTGTATGTGTATGTACATGTTATCTGATAGAAAAGTTTCATTAAACAGTATTTCCTTTATTTTGTGTAATGCACTCTGATACTCTCTGTTCTGTTTTCATTTCTATTCTGTTCTGTTGCATTTTTTAAGAATGCTGGTGTTTGTTTCATGATCCACTAATGAGGCACATTCTCTAGGGTTAAAAACTACTCTAGAGTATGTTAAGTATTATTTTAGCCTATTTTTTATGTATCTTCCTTGTTGTGGTTTTGTGTAGAAGATATTAATTGAAGAGATAATATGAGAGTACTTCAAAAAGTTCATGGAAAATCATATTCTGCCAGGAGAGAAGACTGTTGTCTATGAACCAAAAAGCAGGTCCTCATTAGACAACAAGTCTGCCGGTGCCTTGATCTTGGACTTCCCAGCCTCCAGAATTGAGAAATAAATGTTTGTTGTTTATGCCAAGAAAAAAAAAAAAGTTCATGTAAAGATTTGTATTATCTTTCAATTCTGTATTTCCATGAAGTTTTGAAGTACCTGCGTATAACCCTGTAAGGAGGCGTGAGTTTGAGCATATGCTATTGTAATACCTATTTCCTTTAATTTACTCACAGAGCAGTCCCTTCGACTTATTCCTCTGCAACACTCTAAGGTGGCCAGTGTTGTTAGAGATCAGAATCTCTCTAATGTGTGGACAGTTGAATATGCCCTTGAATTATTATTTATTGGTGGCCTGGTTCCAGAGGCTGTGTGGTTGGCACATAAACTCGGAGACTGGAAGACATCTGTTTCAATTGGTGTGGCCTTCCAACTGTTCTGTAAGCAAGATAGCAATTTCATGAGGTATGTATTTTAGACAAGCTTAAGTTAACATATAATATAATAGTATCATCTAAAGTACTTTATATTTCTCTGATTGCTGGTATTTACATATTATGTGGGATCCTTAGTTCAAAATTGTCCAATAGAACTTTCTTCAGTGATAAAAATGTTCTATATGTGCTGTACAGTATAGTAGCCACTAGCCACAATTAACTACTGAGCACTTAAGATGTGGCTAGTGAGGCCAAAGAATTAGATATTCAGTTTAATTTTAATTAATTTAAGTGTAAATAGCCACATGCAGTTAGTGGTTACTGTGTTGGACAGTTCAGTGGCTTATTTATTTGTATTAAAATGTTTATTTAGCACATTTATGTGTTAATGCTTTCAAAGGGCTTATAGTCAATGGGAGAGTTTATCTGTCTCAAATAGTGTTTAAGTTTTAAGCTAATTAAACTAACCTCTGATTTTAGCTTTTCTGAATATTATGTCACTGTTGTGTCTTTTATACATTTTTTGATTCAATAATTTAACATATTTATTAAGTAACTGCTCTGTACCAAGCTCTATGCCAGGTATTTTAGTGAATATAAACTTAAATGGCACATGGTTGAAAATAGGACAAGACATTATTAGAATTTACATAGCATGGTAAGAAAAGTGCCGGTGGTACAGTGGGGAGAGTGATGTATCAAGTGGAGGAAAGGCAGGAAATACTTTATTTAGGAGATGTCATTTGAGATGGGCATTGAAGGGTAGGTAGTATTTTGACAAACTGATTTGAGAGGGAGAGAACATTCCAAGCATGAGCAAAGGTATTTGGCAAAATACAAGTTTTGGTTCAGTTTGGGTAGAGTACATATGTAGGGCAGCAGTAGGAAATAAGAACAGGGAAATATATTACGATCATAATCATGGAGGGCCTTAATGGAATATTTCCTCGAATATTTCATTTTTAAAGTAGGATGAGTAAAGAAAGTGAATTCCATTGTTTATTACAATTTCATGTATAGTTCCTGATGTCTGGAATATTTCCTTTTTTTGAAATTTGGATTTATTTTCATTAATTTGATGTCATTTCAGGTCCAAGAAAAAGAGTCTGAATCTACCATTAAATATGACTCCAGCACAGATTTTCCAGGAAAAACTGCAGTGCTTTTTAGGGCAGCCAGCTTCTTTGGAAGGGAAAAATGAAATAGTTTCAAAATATAAACAATTTACAGGTGTGTTACCTATGTAAGGTCTGACACATGTATCAAGCTAATATAAACCTTATGGTATTTTAAAAGCCTTGTATATATCTACAAATGTATTCATACTTTGAAATAAACCTATCAAAAATAAAAGTATGGGCCGGCCTGTGGCTCACTCGGTAGAGTGCGGTGTTGATGACACCAAGGCCACGGGTTCGGATCCCATATATGGGATGGCCGGTTTGCTCACTGGCTGAGCGTGGTGCTGACAACACCAAGCCAAGGGTTGAGATCCCCTTACCGGTCATCTTTTAAAAAAAATAAATAAATAAAAAAAATAAAAGTATGGTATTTATACTTAATCATGAGAATATCCAAAACTAATGCCAGGTCAAAACATAGGAATTAATAACTGTGAACGGTTTTCTGATTTTCCAGACATACCTTTATACTAATTGTATTTTGCTATATATGAATCATTTCTTTTGCAGCCATAGAATCACAGAATCTCAAACCTGAAAGGTTACTTAGAAGTGATTTAGTTCAACTCTTACCTAGTGCGTAAATCATAGTCTGTTTTTTTTAATTCGAAAAGTTCAAAGTGGTATTACAGAATGAAAAATAATATGTGTATTACACTTATCTAGGAATTCTATAAAATTTGTCTGTTTTACAGATGGAGAAATTTTTTTATAAAGTAACGAAATGAGTTAAAGTCATATATTTAATGAAAAACCAGGACAACTGTGAGGCCCTTGTGTTTTTATTAGTGCTTTACTCCATTAAGAAGTGAGGCTTCTAACTCTAGATTCCTATGACTTATAACTGTTCTTTCTTGAGAGAACCCATAATACTTGGACCCTTGACAGTAAAACTTTCTTTGATAATTCTCTGTCCAGTTCCTTTTTTTCCCTAAATTAATGAAAAGATAATGTTATTACATAAAAGTTGGATTTAGGAAAAAGGGACTAAAAAAATCCCCAAACTGAATTTCCAGTTCTGGCAGTATATTGTTTTAGATGATCTCCCACAATAAATACATGAATAAAATGTGTTTTAGATAAAATAAAAAAACTATCCATTTAAAGGCCATACTTTCCAGAAAGTATGGGAAATTTCCGGAGGTCAGAAACAAAGAGTAAATAAAAACTGAAAGGAGTCCACTCTGAGGTATTACCCAAGAGAAATGAAAACAGGCCCGCCCCAGAATTCATACATGAATGTTCACAGTGTTACTGGACCAGATATGACAGGTCCTTGGGACTCAGAGTCATAGAAATGAACACTGAACCCACTCTATGGTTGAGCAAGCAAGGTTTATTGAGAGAGAGCTCATGCACAAGGGAGCCAACACAGAAGGGAAGTGTTGCTCTCTAAGCATTTAGTGTGAGGGTTTTTTAAACCAAAAAGTGGGGTGAGGGGCTTGGGAAAGGTGAGGATCCTGGTGTCATGATTGGGGTTAGTTGGTGACAAGGCATTCTGTTTTCATCCTGAGCAGGTGGGAGCTGATGGTTATCCTCCTCTGCCAGCGCATCATTGTCCTCTTGATGCCTGTAAAAGAATGCTTACACAAAGGGGTTAAGCAACCTTGGGTAATGACATGTTTGTGGGAAGGGGCTTATTTTTAATCCCTGCCCTCCCTGGTGTTTCCTGGAATAAGGTGTGGTCTATTGCCCCTGGGACCTCTGCTATATTTCTGACATGTAGACCACTGCTGGGTTCTTGGTGTAGACAACAAAATGGAGTCTGTCCTGTTAGCCCTATCCTTAATCCTGCCTCAGTAGGAGCTATTTCATAATAGCCAAAAATTGAAAACACCCCAAATGTTCATGAACAAGCGAATGGATAAACGAATTATGATATATCTGTAAAATGGTATAATAAATAATAAAGAGGAGCAAACTACTGATAATTTGACAACAGAGATGAATTGCAGAACCATTATGCTATATGAAGAAGTCAGAAACAGGTACTACATACTGTGTGATTCCATTTATGTAGCATTCTATAAAAAACTACAGATGCAGGAAACAGATCAGTGGTTGCCGGGGCTAAAGGGGGAATTGACTGCAAAGGGGCATAAGAGAACTTCTTGGTGTGATGGAAATGTTCTTATAGGCCTGTATAGATTTGGTCAAGTTCATTGAACTATATACTTTGAAAAGGGTGAATTTTATTGTATGTAAATTTTGCCTCAGTAAACCTGATTTAAAAACAAAAAGCTCAGGCTGGCCAGTTAGCTCACTTGGTTAGACTGTGGTGCTGATAACACCAAGGTCAAGGTTTCTTATCCCCTTACCACTGGCCACCAGGACAAACAAACAAAAAGCAAAAACAAAAAAAACCTTTAAAAACAAAAAACTCAATAGATGGTTAAAATTATTAGGCCAGTTTGAGCCAATTAGTGAACTGGAAGATGAATCTGAGCGCTTGTCACACGTGTGCATGCGTGCGCTCTCTATGCACTATATATATATATATA